CTCTCGCGGAGGGCGGGCGGGGCGGAGGGGGCACAGGATGGAAGGGGAGGGGAGGGGAGGAGAAGGCCGAAGGAGGATGGGCACGACGAGTGGAGGGAGGGAGGGGAGGCGGGGAAGAGGAGAAGAAGTACTACGATTACTGCTACTACTACTACTACTACTACTACTACTACTACTACTACTACTACTACTACTACTACTACTACTACTACTACTACTACAACTACAACTACCACTACTACTTACTACTACTACTTACAACTACTACTACTACTACTACAACTACTACTACTACTACGACTACTACTACTACTACTACTACTACTACTACTACTACTACTACTACTACTACTACTACTACTACTACTACTACTACTACTACTACTAGTACTACTACTACTACTACTACTACTACCAGGGTCAAACTTCACCTTCGTGTCTACTAAGAATGAATGGGTGAAGGTAAGGGTTCGGGTTCGGGTTCGGGTTCGGGCTCGGGTTCTACACCGTCATATAAAACCAAGTAGAATAACATAGAATAATTTGATTTTAATCGTACACGAAGCAGAAGTTCGGAAACCCACAATATCGCCATTCGTTGATAGGAAAACAATACCCGGGGCTATAGACCTACTAGTACACGAAGATGAGGTTCGGAAGCCCACCGCTTCTAATAGTACGCGAAGAAGGGGTTCGGAAACCCACAATTTCGCCGTTCGCTCGTAAGAAAACAATACCGGGGCTATAAAGCCAATGGTACACGAAGGTGAGGTTCGCAAACCCATTGTGGAAAACGGGAAAACAGCGTTCCTCTTTTCCTGCTCGCTTTCCTCTTCCTCATCCTCCTCCTCCCCCTCCTCCTCCTCCTCCCCCTCCTCTTCCTCCTCCTCCTCCTCCTCATCTTCCTCCTCTTCTTCCTAACCATCACGAACCAGAAACGAATAAAACCAGAATGCGCTCCCGAATAGAGCCAGAACGACGTCCTTATGAAAACCCACTCTCAAGTGGACCAGATCGCCACGATCCTCGTGAGGGGTGTTCCCGCGTTGGGCGTCGGTGGGCCGTCGGCAGCGCTCCACAATGGGCCAGGGCCACGATCCATGTGAGAGGTGTGCCGAACTTCAGCGTCGGGCGGCGATCCAGATGTGGCGAGGTCTACGATCCGTGTGAGGGGTGCGCCGATATTGCTCATCGGTGGGCCGTCGGCAGCACTCCCAGGTGGGCAAAGACACGATCCTCGTGAGCGGCGTGCCGGAATTGGACGTCGGTGGGCCTTCGGCAGCGCTCCCAATTGGACCAGGGCCACGATCCTAGTGAAGTGCGCGCCGGAATCGCGCGTCGGAGGGCCAGGCCCACGATCCTCGAGAGGGTTGTGCCGCAATGAAGCGGCTGGCAGTGGCGGTTGCTCCAAATCCGACGTCGACACGAAGGACAAGTGTAAAATTGCCGTTTTGTTTACTTTCTAATGCGAATCCAATCTACAGCCTCTACAGCGAATAGTGCACGAATGTAGACATTGGCGCGAAATACACAAAGACCAGGTTTGAAACTACGGTTTTCGTGATTCCCCTTGTAGGAGTTCTATTAGGCCTGATACAAGAGATGAGTACATGAAGGTGAGGTTTGTAGCGACACGAAGACCATGTGCACCCCTACTACTACTACTACTACTACTACTACTACTACTACTACTACGACTACGACTACGACTACGACTACGACTACAACTACTACTACTACTACTACTACTACTACTACTAATAAGAATAATAATAATAATACTATCACTACATCCGTTCTTTCTACTACTACTACTACTACCACCACCACCACCACTACTACTACTACTACTACTACTACTACTACTACTACTACTACTACTACTACTACTACTACTACTACTAGTTCTAGTACTAGTACTAGTACTAGTACTAGTCGTCGTCGCGGTCGTCGTCGTCGTCGCAGTCGGAGTCGTAGTCGCATTCGCAGTCGGAGTCGTAGTCGTAGTCGTAGTCGCAGCCGTAGTAATAGTAGTAGCAGTACAAGCGAAAGTAGAAATAGAAGTAGTAGTACTACCAGTATTAGTAGTAGTAGTGGGAGTAGTAGTGGGAGTAGTAGTGGTAGTAGTGGTAGTGGTGGTAATAGCATTGGTACTGGTAGTGGCAGATAGTGGTAGTGCTAGCAGTACCAATAGCAATAACAGTAGAAGTGGCAGTCGTAGTAGTAGTAGTAGTAGGAGCAGCAGCAGGAGCAGATGTCGCAGTACGAGTAGTAGCAGCAGTAGTGGTGGCAGTAGTAGTAGTAGTAGCTGGTGGTAGTAGTAGTAGTAGTAGTAGTAGCACTGGCAGTAGTAGTACTAGTAGTAATAGTAGTGATAGTAGTAGTAGCAGCAGTAGTAGTAGTAATAGTAATAGTAGTAGTAGTAGTAGTAATAGTAGTAGTAGTAATAGTTGGAAAAATAGTAGTAGTGGCGGTACCAGGAGTAGTAGTAGTAGTAGTAGTAGTAGTAGTAGTAATACTAGTAGTGGTAGTCGTCGAACATCGATTAGTAAAACTAAAACTCATAGTAATAGTGACCGTAGCCGTGAAAATATTGACAACCGTAGTAGTTGTAGTAGTAGTGTTAGTAGTGAGGGTAGTGAGAGTAGTAGCAGTAGTAGTAGCAGTAATAGTAGTGATAACAGTGGCGGAAGTAATAGCAACAGTAAGAGTAATAGTATTAAAAACAGTGATAGTAGTAGTGGCAGTGGTATCAGAAGTAGTAATACTGGTAGTAGTAAAAAAAAGGTAGTAGTGGTAGCAGTAGTGGTGAAAGCAATAATAATGATGATAGCACCAGAACTAGTAGTAAGAGTCGTGGGTAGTATCGACACCAGTAGTAGTAGCAATATCAGCTGCTGTAGTGGTAGTGGTTGTAGTAATCATAGTAGTAGTAGTAGTAGCAGTAGTAGTAGTAGTAGTAGCACTAGTAGTAATAGTGCTACTACTATTACTACCAAGAGTAGTAGAGTAGTAGTACTAGTAGTAGTAGTAGTAGTAGCAGCAGCAGTAGTAGTAGTAGTGGTAGTAGTAGTAGTAGTAGTGGTAATCGTCGTCGTACTCGTAGTAGTAGCCCGTAACAAAAGTAACAATAGTAGTAGTAGTAGTAGTAGTAGCAGTAGTAGTAGTAGTAATGTTAACAGTAGTAGTAGTAATAGTAGGAAAAGTAGTAGTAGTGGCGGTACCAGGAGTAGTAGTAGTAGTAGTAGTGGTAGTCGTCGCACATCTAATTGTAAAACAAAAACTAATAATAATAATAGTGGCCGTAGCCGTGAAAATATTGACAACCATAGTAGCTGTAGTGGTAGTATTAGTAGTGAGAGTAGCGAGAGTAGTAGTAGCGGTAGTAGTAGTAGTAGTAGTGATAACAGTGGCGGAAGTAATAGCAACAGTAAGAATAATAGTATTAAAAATAATGATAATAATAGTGGCAGTGGTATCAGAAATAATAATACTGGTAGTAGTAAAAATGGTGGTAGTGGTAGCAGTAGTGGTGAAAGCAATAATAATGATGATAGAACCAGAACTTGTAGTAATAGTCGTGGGTGGTATCGACACCAGCAGTAGTAGTAGCATCAGCTGCTGTAGTGGTAGTGGTTGTAGTAATCATAGTAGTAGTAGTAGTAGCAGTAGTAGTAGTAGTAGTAGTAGTAGTAGCACTAGTAGTAATAGTGTTACTACTATTACTACCAAGAGTAGTAGAGTAGTCGTACTAGTAGTAGTAGTAGTAGTAGTAGCAGCAGCAGTAGTAGTAGTAGTAGTAGTAGTAGTAGTGGTCGTAGTAGTAGTAGTAGTAGTAGTAGTAGTAGTAGTAGTAGTAGTAGTAGTAGTAGTAGTAGTAGTGGTAGTCGCCGTCGTACTCGTAGTAGTAGCCCGTACCAAAAGTAGCAATAGTAGTAGTAGTAGCCGTAGTAGTAGTAGTAGTTGTAGTAGTAGTAGTAGTAGTAGTAGTAGTAGTAGTAGTAGTAGTAGTAGTAGTGGTAGTAGTAGTAGTAGTAGTAGTAGTGGTAAACGTCGTCGCACTCGTAGTAGTAGCCCGTACCAAAAGTAACAATAGTAGTAGAAGTAGCAGTAGTAGTAGTAGCAGTGGTAGTAGTAGTAGTAGAAGTAGTAGTAGTAGTAGTAGTGGTAGTAGTAGTAGTAGTAGTAGTAGTAGTAAGAGTAGTAGTAGTCGTAGTCGTAATAGTAGTCGTAGTAGTAGTCGTAGTCGCAGTAGTAGTAGCAGTAGTAATAGTAGTAGTAGTAGTAGTAATAGTAGTAGTAGTAGTAGTAGTAGTAGTAGTAGTAGTAGTAGTAGTAGTAGTAGTAGTAGACGTCGCAGTAGCAATAATGGCAATAGTGACTGTGGTAGTAGTAGTCGTCGTGGTATGAGGAGGAGGAGGAGGACGACGAAGAGGAGAAAAGGCATGGCATGGCATTGCAATGGCCAGGAAACCCAGCGGCCCTCACAGCATGTCGAGAACCATGTGGAAGAAGCTCTCCAGCCCGCCGGACGCCGGACCAACACATTCAGCCGAGGCCCGTCAGCAATCCAGAGCGGGAAAAGGGCACGCAACCCCTGCCTGGGCGCCGGGCCGCTGCGCTTCCCTCGAGTCGCTGGCCCAAGCCCCACTCAGCCCCGCCAGCGGCCCCGTCAGCAACTGAACTGACTGGAGGGAGCCCAGGCCCGCAGGCAGCCAGCCAGCAGCGTAAGAAGGGACGGCACGGGCCCACGTGACCTCCTGTGCCTGGGCGCAGGGTCCGCAGCACTCCCCTCGAGTTGCCGCAGCCCTGCCCCGTAGCTCCCTTTAGCTCGACGCGGTCATGGCCTCCGCGGCCGCAGAGAAGGCTGCCGCCAGCCGTATCGCAGGCTCGGCCGGCCAGGGCCTCCAGGGGCCACCCGTCCGCCTGGGCCATCGGGAACAGCGCCCGCCCCTCCTGTAACTCAGCACTGCCTGGGGCGAACTCTGCTGCCGGCTTCC